TACTGCTTTAAATGTATAGTGCAGATGGAGCCTAAAGCTCTGTGCATATACTCTTGAGTAGGACCAGCATTGGATACAACCCAATGTCACCTACAAGGAACATGTATTTATTTGTTACATGCATGTGCAGTGCTAGAGGGAGACAGCAGGGGCACGCACCCCCCAGACAAGGAACTTGGCTCCACACACAGAGGGAGGGAGGGAGGGAGGGAGGGAGGGAGGGAGGGGAGGGAGGGAGGGAGAGACCGCAGTTGCTGGACTCAGAATACACAGTGGAATACACAGGATGAGATAGTCAAATCTGCCATGATAAAATGGGCACAGGATATTGGACACAACATTATGTTTGAAGACTGGGAAAGGTTATGGAACACCGGTATGAAGTTTACGGCATGTAATGCCTTGAAAGAAAACATTATGAAAATGATATACCAGTGGTACATGACCCCAGTCAAGTTAGCTAAGATATACCATCTGTCTGATAATAAATGTTGGAAATGTAAGGAGGCAGAAGGGACATTTTTTCACCTTTGGTGGACCTGCCCAAAAGTGAAGGCCTACTGGGAAATGATTCACAATGAGTTAAAAAAGGTATTTAGGTATACCTTCCCTAAGAAACCAGAGACCTTCCTATTGGGCATGGTGGACCAGAGGGTGTTAAAGAAGGACAGAACTTTGTTTATGTACGCTACCACAGCAGCAAGAATTCTTCTTGCAAAGCACTGGAAGACTCAAGATCTACCCACGTTGGAGGAGTGGCAGACGCAGTTGATGGACTATATGCAACTGGCTGAAATGACTGGCAGAATCCGAGATCTGGGAGAGGAAACAATGGAAGAGGACTGGAAAAAAATTAAGGACTATTTGCAAAAACATTATAAGTTGTATGAATGTTAAGAAATATGCATGATTAGGAAATTTTCGCTTTAGCAACTTGATTAGGTAAATTGAGAATTAAGACAAGAAAAAAGAGGTGGTAATATGAAACAACTTTATTATGTTAATTTTAAATGTGCAAAGTTTGGGATATGAGATTGTGAATTCGGAAACATAATAACTGAAAGATACAGTAAGTTAAGAAACAAGGTAACAAATTGCTGAAACTTTTATTGCAAAGAACGCAGGGTCTGGAGGATGTGGGGAAGTCCACCTGGAATATTGAAAAAAAAACTATTGAAAGTCGGACAGAAATAACCTTTTTTTTTTGTTTGTTTTCTAATATTTCTTTTTGTATTTGTTTCTTGCACTTTCTTTTTGTTATCCTGTGTTCATGAACCTAAGAAAAGAAACTCAATAAAAAATATTTAATAAAAAAAAAAGAATATTTTTGCGGTGAGGATTCATTGCAAAATAAGAGTGGAGGGGGTGTTTTGTAGAATTAAACTACAGTCATACTTTGGGTTACAGATGCTTCCGGTTGCATTTTTTCAGGTTACGGACGCACCGAAACCCAGAAGTACTGGAACGGGTTACTTCCAGGTTTCAGCAGTCGCACATGCGCAGAAGCACCGAATCGCAACCAGCACATGTGCAGACGTGCCACTGCGGGTTGCGAGTGTGCCTCCCACATGGATCACGTTCACAACCCGAGTGTCCACTGTAGAGTGAAGGGGGTGTTTTGTAGAATCAAACTTTGATGATTGACAGTAGGAAAAAAACGTTTTAGAATAAATTTCAGTGTCCAAACTTGTAGGATCAGTTTTACCCCACAACCCCAACAGGAGTCAAATGCAATAAGGCACATGTTTAAAATGATAAGAATTCCAAGGCTAGGGATTTGTTGTGTTATGTTTGGGTTTAAATGGACAGAAAGCACAAGCGGAAATCTTTGTGCTGACGGAACACGTTAGTGGATACCACCCCAAGTTTTTTTTTTTTAGTTTTTTTTTTAAGGGAGGCAAAGTGGACAGGAAGTATGAAGCATAGCTCAAAAAGCCCTGGACACCCCCCCCCCCAGCAATCATTTCTCTTAAATATCAACTTAATAAATAAATTTATTATTTCAGTCACAGACCAGTTCCAGCTCACATACAATATCAGGGAAGTCATAAAACACAATAGGGATACATTTGAATTTGCAATTGGGTGTAACAGGGACAATACAGATACAGAATGTCAACTTGCTCCTGTTTTAAGGAACAAACAAACAAAAAAACACCCTAAAAATTACATGCTGTTATGAGAGTCTGGGAAGGAGATTGGAAGTGTCCTAGCTGGTGTTTTTCCCATCTTCCACTTTCTAGGACTTTGTTCTTTTTGAGCCACAGCCATGTACAAAGAGGTTGCATCCCTCAAAGATTTTGCCAAGGGGTTGCAAACTGCTGCTTCTCTCTCTCTCTCTCTCTCTCTCTCTCTCTCTCTCTCTCTCTCTCTCTCCTCCCACTGCCTGCACTTTAATTCTCTCCATAACATTGAGAAGGAATTTGTGCTGTGTGCAAAGGTGTGTGCATGTGGAGGGGGGGTTGGGGTGCGTTGCTGAACTCCTACCACCTGGCATTACTGCTTGGATTATTAGTTCCTAGTAATTTAGTGCCCTTGCGCAGGGTCGATTTGTGCCTTTCATTTCTAATTGATCTAGAGGCTGTTTAAATGACAGCAGGCATCTGTTGAGAGTGGGAAGGTTCATAAGGCGAAATAATTCATAACACCGTCTGGAATTTGCCTTTCATATCCCTTAGCTAAGCCTCGGCAGGGCTGCCTAAATTACGACCAGGGAGGATTCCCCCCCCCTCCATATTCAGCTCATGGCTTGAAGAATCTTGCATTAAACTGGGATCAGTCTAGATTAGACTGTAATATGCTGCAGTATTAGTAGCTGCAAATGAAGACTTATACCAGAGTTTAACCCCTTCACCTGCTTTTCTCTTTGCCTTGGTCCTGGAAGGCTTGGCTAATCCATTGGTTCCTCCGATTTGTTGATGTGTATAATAGATCTTTCAACCCACCGGACTCCTGGGATAACTTTAGCACTAAAGCATTCAAGACAACAGGTTTCGAAGAAATTAAAACACACTTGCTTTGATTAAATAAAGAGTGACTTTTCAGCCCTTAGTGAAATGGGCATATGGTTTTCCCAGCTCCTCGCATATGTGAAGGCAGGAGGGAAATGGGATATCTGATATTATGTTAGGCCTGCGCTGCCAATCTCAGCAGCCTTGTTGCCAAATTAGTGTACAGAGGTGTGGAGTACTTAATTTACTTGCAATGCACCTCTTGCCCTTCTTAGTTTCCCTCAGTGTAATGTCAGTTAGCAGATGGATAGCCCAAGTAAGTTTACTGTCCTCAGTTTAACGCTGCTTACTTGTTTTCCCCTTTAAACTCTGAGCAGGTGACCTTAGTTTCAGGAGTAGTCAACACATGGCGCAGGATTGTTCCTCCTGCCCCAGACTCCCAACCTCATATGGTAGTTAAGCTGTTTTCCATAGAGTCTACATGGGTACCCTCCAGTAGTGTAGTGGGAAATTCAGAAGTACAGGGTCCCTTCATTACAGTCACATCCACATTCCCTCACAGCCATTTTTTATTATACAATTAACTTATGACTGTACAATAATAATAATCGGGGTACATTGCTTTGTGTTGCCTTTTCAGCTAAATCTACTACAGTGGTATCTCGGTTCTTGAACGTAATCTGTTCCGAAAGACCATTCGAGTTCTGAAGCGTTCAAAAACCGATGCGCAAAGGGCTGTCTGCAAACACAATTGAGAAAATTGAAAAACGCACAGCGGAAGCCGTTCGACTTCCAAGGCACTTTCAAAAACGGAAGCATTTACTTCCGGGTTTTCAGCATTCAGGGGATGCGGGGTGGCGCTGTGGGTTAAACCACAGAGCCTAGGACTTGCCGATCAGAAGGTCAGCGGTTCAAATCCCCCGTGGCGGGGTGAGCTCCCGTTGCTCGGTCCCTGCTCCTGCCAACCTAGCAGTTCGAAAGCACCTCAAAGTGCAAGTAGATAAATAGGTACCACTCCGGCGGGAAGGTAAACGACATTTCCATGCGCTGCTCTGGTTAGCCAGAAGTGGCTTAGTCATGCTGGCCACATGACCCGGAAGCTGTACGCCAGCTCCCTCGGCCAGTAAAGCGAGATGAGTGCCGCAACCCCAGAGTCGGCCACGACTGGACCTAATGGTCAGGGGTCCCTTTACCTTTACCTTTTCAGCATTCGGGTTCCAAAACGTTTGTCAAAGGAGACAATCGAGAACTGAGGTATCACTGTGTTTTCTGTGCAAGTACAAATGAAGCTCTGCATCTGGGCAGCTGTAAAGAGATGTTGCCTTTTGCATTGTTCCGAGGATACAGAGCCTTGTGCACAGCATCCTATTGTATTGCTGCTGTTCTTAGCTTGTGCTGTTCTTTCATTGTTTGGCTTTAATTTGTCTTCTTTTGTATTACTCTCTGGATGGCTGCATTTAGTTGCTTGTTTTTAATATGTGTGGGCTCTTTGAATGGGTAGTATGCAAACATTTTTAAATAAATGTCTTTTTTAAAAAAAACTTGTATACATGGAGACTGGAGAGGATAGATGTGTGTAGCTCAGGAGCAGTGACTGAGGACACAATCCCATGCCACACATGCACACACACACACACACCATTCCCCAAATGTATGAAAAGAGCCAGTGTCATTTCCCAGATGTGTGAGTAGGACTTCTTCTTCATCACAGTTTCCCTGTATGTAGTTCTCCATGCTAGCATCTGCCTTTACACTCCCCCTGCCAGATACTCAACAGTCAGTCAACAATGTGTGGCCAGTATGTTCAATTCTCATTGGTCAGTTTTTTGAGGGTCCCTCCCCCTTAGGAGTTCATTCTAATTATTACTATTTTGTCCTCTTGGGATTGCTCCAAAAACTGCTAATGGCCACTCACTTGTGCACAGGTGACAGTGTTTTGGTTACATGATCAATGGCAGTGGAAATAAAGGAAATGGTGGAGGTCATCCACAGCATAAGTGAATTGTGTTTATCTGTGAAAATGACATTGTGTTTCCCTTTTCTCTTTAGACATCCTCTCTTCCCCCTCCTGACCCTGCTGTTTGAGAAATGTGAGCAGGCAACGCAAGGCTCAGAGTGCATCACTTCTGCCAGCTTTGATGTCGACATTGAGAATTTTGTACACCAGCAAGAACAAGAGCACAAACCATTCTTCAGCGATGACCCTGAGCTCGACAACCTGGTAATGGTTTTGCCCGGACCAGTTAGTCATGGAGTGTTGAACATTCTCAAGGGAAGATAGGTAGATAGATGATCAATAGGTAGGTAGTTAGAGTGGGGGTGGGGCAAAAAGAGAGGGTAGGGGAAAATGGTAGTGGGAAACTAGATATGAGGGAGACTTTTGATTCAAAATGCACACTAGAGTAAAGTGTGCATACACTGGTGAAAATAACATAGAAAAACACATTATATTATGGGAAATTGCTTTGCAAAAATGTGTAGTTTAGGCAAAATTGCATATAAGCAAATTTGTGCAAGGAGAAATTTGCACCGGAATGCTTGTGAATTTTCACGAGAAATTTGCAAACTGGTTTCAAAATGTGGAGAACAGAACTTAAGAATGGACAAATGAGAAACTAAGAGAAACAGAAAACTGGCAGGTTCTGCCATTTCTTTGGTTGACTTTTCTGATGACTTTTGAGGGCGCTATAAGAGGCAGAGAGCTTTTATTTTTAATTTTCAGCAGTTAGAGACAGCAGCGCAGACACTTACTTTTAAACATTACTCCTCTGCCATTCCTGCCTTAACCAGTTTTTGTCAGCAGTTCCCATGGAGGCAGCAGTCCTCTGTCACGGGTCATCTCACCCCACATTTCATCTGAGGAAGGATGTTACTGTCCTCCTTCAGATGCATTGCAGGGCAAGATGGTCCCTAAGGGAGGGAGGCTGCCAGCCGCCATGGGAAAGCAGCAGAAGAAACTCTTTTAAAAGAAAGAGAGGAGTGGGGTGAGTTTGCTTTAGTTATGTCATTGCGTGATTTTTGTGGACGAACACTTTTAGTACATTTGCTTCATTTTAATAGGCGTTTATTTATTTAAGGCATTTATATGGCGATTAACCATTAGCATTTCTAAGTGGTGTACATAAAAATAAACCACACAGAGAATAAAACTATTAAAAAAATCATAAAACTGAGCATAAAACCTGAACACTACATTAAAATGCCTGCTGGAATAAGAAAGCCTTTGTCATGTTCCTGAAGTTGGGCAGAAGATCCACAGCTTTGGCCCCACTACGTTGAACACAATATACAATGTTGTGCCTTGTCCCTTTAAATTGCTTCAGGAATCCTTTTGCGCATCGAGGTCCCCAAGCCACTCCCCAATAACTCACACATCACACATCAATTTTGTTTAAGGTTTTTGGTATGATTGTGGCCACAATTTTATTTAAATACACACATGTGAGTGGTTGCTTAGGCATTGGTTACGACTATCTGTCCTTGCCCCAGGGACAGAACTGACTTCCGGATTCCAGCAGAAGCCAGTCAGGGAAACAATATTGGGGAGAAATGAAGCTGGGCATCAGTCCCTCACTTCTCACTCGCATGCCCCTGGGGGCTTACACTGCCCAAGTCCAATGCCAGGGACTAGGACGAAAAGGATGGCAAGCCCCTGGATTCCTTTAACGGAATTGCCTCTCAGCACCACCATTGGAGGGGTAGGCACTTACCCCTCCACCAACCAATTTTAACCAATGCCTAACTACCAACCTTACAAGTTGTGACGATTTGCTATGCAGTAGGCAAAAACCAAATGGCAACAGCCTATCAGCCAAATGGACAAAATTCCTACCAGGCCCCTGCCTCAAAAGCAGACGACCCCATGACAGGCATAGCAAGGTCAAGCAAACAACCCCCCCAATTCAGGGAGGGTGGGCGGGTGATCCGGTGGGTGCAAGCAGCCAAGAGGATGCCCAAAGCTGGGCATCCAGCATTTAAAACCTCTGTCCCCTCCTCCAAATTGGCAACAAGAAAATCTCCCCAGAGACCCAATTTAACCAATCCCTGCCTGGGTCTCTTCGAACATCCGCCCAGCAACAGTGGGGTGGCCTGTAGGCCCCCACCACAACACGTGCTCTCTGTTAGGGAGAAGACGTTTTGTTTGAGGCAGTATGTACCGTATTTTTCGCACCATAGGGCGCACCGGACCATAGGGCGCACCCAGTTTTTTGGGGGGGAAATAAAGGGGAAAAAATTATTTTCCCCCCCAGGCGCGGGGCTGGGGCGGGGGAAGCTCGAGCTTCCCCCGACCCCAGCCCCCAAACAGGCAGCTCTCTGCAAGCCGTGGGAGCCCAGCACTGGCTCCCGCTGCTTGCGGGGAGGTCCGCGAAGCCTGGACGCGCTGATCTCAGCGCGCGCAGGTTTAGGCATGCCGGCAACTCTCCGCAAGCAGCGGAAGCACTCCCGCTGCTTGCAGGGAGGTCCGCGAAGCCTGGACGCGCTGAGCTCAGTGCGCGCAGGCTTCGGCATGCAGACAAGTCTCCGCAAGCAGCGGGAGCGCTCCTGCTGCTTGCGGAGAGGTCCGCGAAGCCTGGACGCGCTGAGCTCAGTGCGCGCAGGCTTCGGCATGCCGGCAACTCTCCGCAAGCAGCGGGAGCCCAGCGCTGGGCTCCCACTGCTTGCGGAGAGGTGTGCGAAGCCTGGAGAGCGTGAGGGGTTGGTGCGCACCGACCCCTCTCACTCTCCAGGCTTCAGCGAAAGCCTGCATTCGCACCATAGGACGCACACACATTTCCCCTTCATTTTTGGAGGGGAAAAGGTGCGTCCTATGGTGCGAAAAATACGGTACATTTAATAGAGCTAATCCATTTTGAAAAAGGAGAAACCTCTGACCATGCTGCTTGGCTAACACCAAGGAAACTCAGGTTGGGCTGCTGGGATAAGTTAGGCCATTTGAGAAAATGTGCATATGTCTTATTTTTGCATAACAGAGTCTGCTTCTAAGAACCAGCAGTCATTCATAAGGGCTGCCTTCTTGGGAGGATAGGATCAGTTACGTTAGGAGAATGGTTACGCTTGGGAATTGACATTTTTGAGAAGGAAATAGCCAATCTGGAAAGAGGACACTGTGCCTAAAGGGAGAACGCCTCTGGCATTTATTTAGCTCTACCAATAGTTCCTGTGGAGAATAGCCTTATATTACAAGGAATCATTAAGGAAGCCTCGCAGCCCAAAGGGATTGTGAAACCATGGACTCCTCCACATGACCTATGTATTGAGCGTTCATCCTGATTTGCTTGCACAAAGCTTATGCGGAGGTTAGATGAGCTCCAGCCTTTATTGAGCCTCCATTTTGATTTGTTTACGGGGCAGTGTGCATTCATCCTGATTTGCTTGCAGAGTGTAGATTTGGTTTCCCGTTAGCCACCCACGCATCCCACTCTCCAGTGCATCTCACACATCACTTTACAAACCACAAAAAGTCCAGTTCTTCGTTGCCAGGGTGACAGAGCCATTTAATCCACTTTAATTGTGCAAACCCAAAGTTCCAGTATGTGCTTCCGTCCCTTCCACAAAATATTGACTGCCTGGAGGTATTCCTTGCCAGTTGCAGATACCCTAGATCTATGTCTATGGCTGGCTGCGTGTATATGTACTTATTGTTGTTGTTTAGTCATATCCAACTCTTCGTGACCCCATGGACCAGAGCACGCCAGGCACTCCTGTCTTCCACTGCCTCCCGCAGTTTGGTCAGACTCATGCTGGTAGCTTCGAGAACACTGTCCAACCATCTGGTCCTCTGTCGTCCCCTTCTCCTTGTGCCCTCAGTCTTTCCCAACATCAGGGTCTTTTCCAGGGAGTCTTCTCTTCTCATGAGGTGGCCAAAGTATTGGAGCCTCAGCTTCAGGATCTGTCCTTCCAGTGAGCACTCAGGGCTGATTTCCTTCAGAATGGAGAGGTTTGCTCTTCTTGCAGTCCATGGGACTCTCAAGAGTCTCCTCCAGCACCACAATTCAAAAGCATCAATTATTCGGCTATCAGCCTTCTTTATGGTCCAGCTCTCACTTCCATATATCACTGCTGGGAAAACCATAGCTTTAACTATACAGACCTTTGTTGGCAAGGTGATGTCTCTGCTTTTTAAGATGCTGTCTAGGTTTGTCATTGCTTTTCTCCCAAGAACCTGTACTTATTACAGGTGTTGTAATAATAATTAATGGCAAGAATCACCTAGCCTCAGCAAAATGGTATTTACAGCCACTGTCTTACATGCTAATAGTTCACGGTTTCAGAAAAGCCTGGCTAGCAAAGCTAACGTTAGCTGTCGGCCATCTTCTTAAGTTTCCATATTACAGCTTCATAATATCAAGCTCTGCTTGGTCAAACCCAGCGTCCCTCCACTCCACGGCAAATGTTACATATCTTGGGTGATGTGGTTGGTGTGATATGAGAAATATTTAAAGGACACACAGACAATAATTTTGCATACACGGATCCCCATGTAAACGTCAGATTGTGTTGATAAAGTGATGTCAGTTAAAATGTTATGGCTGAAAAATGTAAATAATGGTGTCTCTTCTGCATGATTATTGCCACCAGGGCAAGACTCTGGCATCTGGTTTTGAAAATACAGTCCCACCTAATGCAGGCATCTTGCTCAAGCTTCGTAGGTCTGCATCTGGTCAGTCCCTGGTTGGGAGGCTGGCTGGGAATGCTGTTCATGTTGCTTTGAGTTCATTGACAGAAGAAGGGGAATGTATGGGTGATAAATACCTTGAAAAGTGCCACCCAGAGCATAACATGAGCAGATCCTGCTGACTCCAGCCATTGGCCCATCTAGTCCAGCTTCCTGTTCTCACTGTGGCCAGCCAGACTCTCATGGAAAGCCCGCAAGCCGGACCTGAGGACAAGCAAAACTCTGCCACCTGGAAACTGGCATTCAAAGGGATACTTCGCATAGTAATGATGTTCCCTGCACATAGGTAATGGCTGCCTGATTTGCATAATTAGTGCATAGTTATCTCTCTTAGGTACTCTTTGCAAATCCATGCATTGTGATTGGCCAGCCCCATTATTACCCAAATAGAGCACGTAGCTTTGAATAGTTATAGCATTGTGAACGGCTCAGTAGCCGCGCTGCAAATATGCTGATAATTCCTTTAACTGTCTAGTATAATCCTGTCTTCCAGCCTTTCTGTCTCTTTAGGGTCTGACGGCACATTTGCCGCCTCAGCTTCTAGG